GGGTTTAAAGTGTAGGGTTTAGGGCTTAGGGTTTAACGTGTAAGGTTTAGGGCTAAGGGTTTAAAGTCTAGGGTTTAGGGCTTAGGGTTTGAAGTGTAGGGTTTAGAGATTAAAGGGTAGGGTTTAGGGCTTAGGGTTTAAAGTGTAGGGGTTTGGGTTTAAAGTGCAGGGTTTAGGGTTTAAAGTGTAAGGTTTAGGGCTGAGGGTTTAAAGTCTAGGGTTTAGGGCTTAGGGTTTAACGTGTAGGGTTTAGAGATTAGAGGGTAGGGTTTAGGGCTTAGGGTTTAAAGTGTAGGGTTTAGGGTTTAAAGTGTAGGGTTTAGGGCTTAGGGTTTAAAGTGTAGGGTTTAGGGCTGAGGGTTTAAAGTCTAGGGTTTAGGGCTTAGGGTTTAAAGTCTAGGGTTTAGGGCACGGTTTAAAGTGTAGGGCTTAGGGTTTAAGTTAAGGGTTTAGAGGAGGTGTGCTCGGTAGGTCCCGCGAGTAAGCGCGCTTCTGTGTACAAAAAACGAAGCTAAAGCCATTCCCACCCCACGACCAACCATGTACGACTCCCAACAGATCAGAATCGACAAGGGCCAGTCTTTATTCTTCGGATTCCTACTAGTAGCTAGTATCATCAATACTACGATTGCTAACACGACTGAGAAATAGCGCTATTGTTATTAGTCTTAACCGTATTTTGATCGTCGTTCTTACTTTCTTGTTGTACTTGACACTCCATCCGCTCGCCGTAACTTGGCCGCAAGCATCTGCGGCCTCCACCAGCAAATTTTCAGGTCAACTGTGGGTTGAAGGTTTAGGGTTTAGGGGTTTAGGGGTTTAGGGTTTAATGAGGGTTTAGGGATTTAGGGTTTAGGGTGGTTTTCTGCTCAATTCCGAGTTGTTCGGCCACTCTTTGGCTGAAAGCACGTGGCTCGCGAAGTTTCGACAACACGTTTGGCATTCGCGTTGCGATATGACAGAACCAGACTGAGGAACCAAAGATAAGACTACCCCCTAAACCGTAAACCCTAAACCCTAAACCCGAGGCCCCTATACTACGTGCCCCGAAACCTCATGCTCCGGCCTGTTCGCAAGCCTCTGCCCTTCAGCCCTGTACCCTAAGGTCGGAACAGGTCTCAGAGAATCGTCAACCACAATTCTTCCCAGATCCCCTAAAACCTAAGGCCTAACCTCCAAAGCTCTAAACCCTAAGCCATACACCCTACCCTTAGGCTCGTGAGATCCCCCAAAGCCGAAACCCTCCCCAGAAAGCCCAAGACCCTATCAGGAGCCTTAATTCGGGCACACCCTAAACCCTAAACCCTAAACCCTACACACTAAACCCTAAACCCTAAACCCTAAACCCTAAACCCTAAACCCTAAACCCTAAACCCTACACACTAAACCGTATACACCCTTCACCCTACGGCCGTGGGGCCTGCGGTTTACATCCCCGAAGGCAACGCGAAAGCTCACAAGCCTGCTTCAGCCACCTCCCAACGTAAGCCGCTGGCCCTCTTGGGGGACGTGATCACGTGGCCGACCTTGCACTGCAAAGAGTAATTAGGGTTTAGGGTTTAGGGTTTAGGGTTTAGGGTTTAGGGTTTAGGGTTTAGGGTTTAGGGTTTAGGGTTTAGGGTTTAGGGTTTAGGGTTTAGGGAAATAATTAGGATAGGTTCCCTCTAAACTTTAAGCCTCAAGCATTAGACTTGTTTTGGACGGGGAGTAAACTTATCGTATACTTGTAATTGCGACAGAAGGAGTACAAGGAGTCATT